GGAACTCAGTGCAATAAATTATATCTTTTGTCATAAACAGGGTCTACAAATTTGAGTTTTTTTTATCATAGACAGGGTACCCCTTTCAGAATCCCAGCGGAACACCCCTACCCAAATTCTGGCGAAGTACCATTATCAATGGCATACAATCATGAATCAATTAATATATCTAAGATATTCAGTAATATTGATTAAAATACCCAAGTCATTTTTATTTTCACAGATAAAAATTAATGATTTCAGAGTAGTCCAGAGTGCGTGAATAGTTACCCTAATTCATCCTATGTTATGTATAAATCCGTGTACAAAAAAGTAACGCAATATTCGTCACTATCAGTCACATGACAGTAGCCTTAGCAACTGTAATACACCGATCCCGCATTCTTGTTCTATCTCCCTGGTTACTGTTACTACGTCGGACAAGCTAAAATGTGTTTTTGCTATGCAGCATGGAACAGAAACTGATTGTTGGAAATTGTAAATGTCTATCTTATAATGGATGCATTCTAAAGGTACATTGAAAAAAACAAACAAACCAAAAAAAAACAAAAAACAAAAAACGATAACTCCTAAAAATTCTTCATGAATTTGAGTTTGTTGGTCGGACATTCTTAATTTATTCCATCTAGAAAACCATTGTTTGGGTGAAAACTCAAGCATAGCTGGGATCGGCCTATTGTTAGCTGATGGGTACCACGAGGGGGAAAATTGTCATGCCATTGTAAAGGGCTTTTTTGATGCAATTCAGAATAAACGAGGTAAAAAATGCATGCCGTTCTCATCAATGCTTTTTGCACTATGCATCATCTCCCCTTCGGACCCGTGTGTAGTCAATTTGCCTTATTTTAAAAAACGCTGTTAACTGATGGATTGAAGTGAGCAAATCCGAGATCGTAGCCGACAATTTCCTTCAGTTTTTTCAAATTCAATTGTTTTTGAAATGACTGCACTTACACTGAACAGCCTCTCCGAATCTCGTACCCACAGCCCACGGTCCTCTTGGTCAGTACCAAGAAACGTTCCTCAGCAGATTGCGCTWCTTACTTCCCACTGATAAGAGTAGGCGGTAATTGGGGGCCGTACACCTAAAACAATGCTCGATCTAAAAGTTCAAACAATGGAGGGCTGGTGCATTTTACCGTTCATTCCCTTTCCTGTTGCAGAAACATTGCCCCCTCATTGATCAAAATTTTACAAACAAAACAAAACCAAAAAACGAAACACACACACACACACACACACAAAAAAACAAAAAAACAAAACAACAACAACAAAAAAAACCAAACCAAACCAAACAAAACAACAACAACAAAAAACCAAAACCAAAAACAAACAAAAAACAAACAAACAAACAAACAAAAAAACACAAAAAAAACAAAACAAAAAAAAAGCGAAAAAACAATTTAAATTGAATTTTGGTCGCAAATGTGGACTTTAGAAATTATACATTTTAAAAATAAATCAGTCTGTTAGTCCACTACGCACCTTACGAGAAAAATATCATATGCCCAAACAATTACAAACAATCAAAAACAAATTAAAAGACAGTGACACCTCCCCCCTGTCCCCGCCCCTTGCATAAATGTTTGTTGCCCCTCCGTTTAGTTTTTATGAAAAAAATAATGGCCTCCCCCCATTTGCACTTGCCTCCCCCCCCCTTAATCAATCACCCGTCCCTATGGAAACAATTATTACAATTAATTTTACGAGAAAATTAATTTTTTTTTAAAAATAAAGTTGCCTATGTACACATGAAAAGTGATATTTTTCTGGCATATGTTTTGGTATGATTTCAATTGCTGTCTTATGTATGTGAAATATTCACACATAATACATGTAGTAATTACATGTAGTATATCATATTCATTCAATGAATCGATTCCAATTCTTCCAAACTGATGGAAATTTTGACACAAGAAAACATCTTGAAGCGGAAGTAGAATGCATGCGTTCCGCGAAATAGAATTAATTTTGATGTCACCACCAAGATCTGTATTTTTACATTGGTTTCTGTTTGTGACGAGAATTCTTAACCTTTTCCAATACTCTAAGGTCGAAGGTATTCTTTAATATCAAAAAAGTTCTGAATGAGTGAAAAGGAAATATTCTACTTACTTCGTTTCCTTTGAACCAGTTGGAAACCGAATTTTTGGTCGGATTGATTTCTTTTGTGCGGAAGCCTATAAATCAATCCCGAATACATATAAATATTTTAAGGTAACGTTTATATATATATTTTGCTATAGTCTATCTCGTAGAATCTTCTTTCTACTCTTTAAATATTATCTGAGATATGAAAATATTTTTTGACTCGATATGATATGAATAAAATTGATTTCGTTTCATAGTAATAAGACTCTGTAACTAAGAAGGGTCAGCTTGATAGAGTTCAGGCCCAAGCTTGGTGTTAATTCTCTTCCTCGAATGAATCCTTGTGTTTATTTGCAGCAAGTCTGTATTCGTGTATGTTTGAAGGCGAACGCTGAGGTTCTCGTTGCTGTACATTATGAACTAAAGCAAGAACAGGAATTTTTTGTATTGAACTGGAAGAAGAAGTAGCTCCAGACGATGAACGTCTTTCTAGTGAGTCTGTTTGATTACTCGACGAAAGGGAATCCATACTCATCTCTCTTCTAACTGGTGCTTCTTCTGTCGGTGCTTTCCTATAGTCACCTCGTCGGTTTGTCGCTCTACAGACTGGTAGAAGAAGAACTACACAGAACAACAGAGCACCAATCGAAATAAGAACTGTTCCAACTAAAGTAAAATCATCGAGCATTGTGTTAAATGTTAGAGCTGTTTTATCGACTGGTATTCTCGAACCATCTCCTCTTTCAATGTATACGACAGGTCGACGAGGAATGACATAGCCGACAAGCATAAATGTAACTCCGATCAGTAAGATAAGAATAGAGCAAGTTAAGGCTATCAACGTCTTGGCGCTATAAACAGCAGCCATTCCCGAACCACATTTACATTCGACCGATGGACAAGGTTGTTTTGATTCGGGAGTGCCCTCTTCGAACATGTGATGATGTAAGTAGCGAATCCCGAAGCGCGAATTAGTTCTATCGGTTTGAACTTTTTTCCCGCGGGATGAACGCGTCTTCACTTTGCGCGTTTTCTTCGGTCCTTGACGAATGTCGGTCGCGTCTTTTGATCCCGATTGTTTTTCTTGAGCAGGATTCATATTAAAATTCATTCACCTGTTGCGGAGTTCTTGAATAATTACTGAACTTTTTCGGTTTTACTCTTGCAAATTATTCATCATTGATCAATACATTTTCTAATTTTTGTCAATATCTTCCCCTTGGCCGCGGCAATTCCCAAAGCCAAATTCTGCTTTCCTGTAATAAAAGCGAGTGTTATTATCTTGAACTATTCATAAAACGTTTCTAAATTCTGTAATTCACTAATCAATAATAATATTGTCAAAGAAATCAAACTTTATATATAAGGTTTCGAAAAACAACCTTTACCACGGATGAAAAGACTAGATGAAATGTGGTCAGATATCTAGTCAATCAGATACTCGCATACGTGTATAAAACTCCCAAAGTCGATCCCTCCTTACCTTTCCTTCCTGAACAACAAGGGCTCAAAGCGTCATAAATAACCTAGTTCAGTTTCCAGCTCCAAAAACAAATTCTAAATCAAACTTGGTCAAAAAAACTAAATCAGGAAAGTTTATAATACGAACTGATGAACGATTTGGTTGGCATCTGTTCTCTCTTGAGGCGCGTCTTTTCGCCGACTTATCTCGCTCAAATTTAAATAATTTCTGACCCTTTCATCCCCTTGATTTTTCACATCCGACGAATCAGCGACAACAATAGGTTCTTGGTAGTTATCTGTCAATATTATTGAGGATTCCCTACTCTTGAATTAGATCTTTTATTCTACCTAAATACATTTCAAAGGCATCTTGATTGGCTGACTTGGAAAAGGCTTTAATAAGACGCCGAAGATGCATGTTTACGTGGCGTGGCGGGAAAACACGTGGCTCTTGGCAGAATATCTTAACCTTAGCAGATTTTCGCTTGAAATGACGATATGATATTTTAGAGAGAGAGATTTTTTTATAGATTTTGCGATGCGAAACAAAAAGTAATTCTGTTGTCTGATTTGTCATCCTATAACGATGGCCATTAAGTGCTTGCCCGAAGTAAAAACGAGTTTTTTGTGTTACATGTGGGGTAGTTTCAGCCTTTTTCTATAAAAATGTATTTCTTTTGTTTCTAAGGACGAATAGAAGACAGCTGGAAGTCGGGAAAATATTAAAATTACTATAAACAAATTTCCAACATCATTTGTGTTAAACAGGAAGGAACGCGGAAAGAAAAATAATACAAAAGTACACACTAAAAAATTATCTTTTTGGGATATGGAAATTTCAAAGTTAAAATAAGAACTTTCTGCATCGAAATTAGTCTAAAACGCCATGAGTTGCTATGGTGATGGTTCTTCTGTCGGGTCTTTTTTTGCAGCGATATTTACTAATTCAGTTGCTTGGCGTAGTATTCCAGTCCTTCACTGTATACGTATAGATATGCCAAGAAAAATCATTAATTACCCCACGGGCGAAAACTTTCACAGTCGTTGCAACTTGAACTGAAAATCTTTTTTTAGGCTCAAGGTCTAAAATAAGAATGAAAAATGAAAAATTATGCTGAAAAGAATTGATTTACGAGCATTCTGGAGAGCGCAAAAAATGTCATCTCAACTCTGACTACAGTACTCAGTTCTAACTTCATATGCTTCCCAGATCCTAGCCACTATCAAACATTACGAAGTCTAAGAAGGAGAAGACTGGAAGGAGAAGAAGAAGCAGAAGAAGAAAATGATGAACTGATAAATTGAATCAGTTATGCGCATATAATTTGACAGTAACGATTCAATATCATGTTCGGTATTTTGTACAAGTGTTTTTCAGGCCCTTTAAATGTTTGAGTGTCAAGAACAGCCTGTATTTTATCAAAATATTCTATAGTTCAGTCGTGATCCGCCAATATATAGGGAACAAGGTGAAAAAGATATTCTATGATTTTTACCCATTTACTTTGCGATATCTTACAACAATCTTAAAACTGGATTTACCAGCCGGAATTCATAGTTTTTAGAGACAGACTGTGATCCTTCATATAGAACATTCAGCTTTTAACTTTTACCGGCTACTGAGCTGGACAGCTTTGCTTTTCTGTATAGAGGGAGCTGTTAACCACCTGGTCAGTTGATGGCTAATATAAAAAAACGCCTGCAGTGACCGGAATATACGTACTTGAGGATAAAACATATAGAAAACTACAAGAAAACAGGATACAATATTTTACTGACTGAAAACGTTTTAAAAGTCATTCGAAGTGGCCTGTGCATCCAGTTTTGGTAGGCTTTTGGTAATATATATATATATATACTAATTTTCTCTTTGGTAGCCAAAACCTACATCTTTTTTCCATTTCAGTTACGGCGGTTGTATAGCGACGCTGACGTGCTGCTGTGGGCGTTCAACAAGATAGTTTCTTTTTTGAAGTCTTTGCCTTTAAACGTGATTAAAATTTAGTATTCAGTTAAGTGGAGTCAGTGCTTTTCTTCAGGACATCTGGAAATTTGAATGTTGATATTGGACATCGAAAATATCCAATGCAAAGAAAACATTAATTAGATAAATCTTTATGTGAAATTCAAAATCCCCCCCTTTTTGACGTTTTTTTCCCCCGGTTTAATCTAAAATGTATGTCTCTATGTCTTTGAGGATCAATAAGGTGTATAAAGACGAATCTTGTTTCCGTAAAGGATCTTGAATCTTAAATGCGTAAAAGATTATCTTAAAGGCTTAGAACCTCGTATACTCATGATTTTAGAACTGGAATTGGGGTTCCTGTGTAATGTTAGTCGCTGTTGACGGACGGACTAAGTACCAGATTGAGTAACCATGGTAACTGAATGGCATGCAGAACGCCTGACAACAACAAGAAGTCAAAAAGCCAACATGGCGGACAGTGTTCGATTAGAACAGACGCCAAAAAGACCAGTTGGTGGAGGCTTAAACACAGGCAGGATACACAAAGGTATAGTCTATTTAAAGCTAAGAAACAACGCATATCCAGCAGAAAAATCAATAACTTAACTGATGCATAACTGCGAGAGTAATTTACGAAAATTAACCAACAGTAGCAATTGACTTTGAAAACAAATTTTTTTGGTTGACGACAGGACATGGAAAAACAGCAGCTTCCTCGTCAATACCAAGCAAATACCAAACAATTGTAACAGATAATTCGGAGAAAAAAGGCTTTCTTTCTCGTTCAAGAAGATTCAATGAGGATAGCCTGGTGAGTTGGCATATTTCAAAACTCTTTTATCAATAATTGATGATTGAGAATAATTCTACTATTTTTTGTATCAAGCTAAATAATGTTTTGCGCCCTTCTATTGTCTGTATTCCGTCCCTCAAACTGTCAAGGGTGGAGAATGGTTCTGATTTATAAGGTATATGGATATTGGCAAAAGATTAGAAGATATAAATTAGATAGATAAATATGAATATATTTTTATTTGATAAATAATATTTTCCCCTTCTCATCTAGACCTATAATCCTGGTCCAGGACGATATGACCAACTCACCAAAACCGAATCTGAAGCAACGTCATTTTCTAAAAGGGGTACTGGTTGTTTTGCTTCGAAGGTATGACATGACATTCAACCTAAATAGACTTCAATTGTTTTGCAAGTTTTACAATTGTTTGCTATAATGCTTTTTAATCATTTCAGTTATCAGTGATTAATACTACCTGGTTAATACTCCCTGGCAGTAGTCTTCCTCTTTAGCGATTCTTGGCCAATAATATTACTAATCAATAAAAAGTCACAAATTCGCTACTCCTCCATTAATCATTGATTATCACTATCAATCGATTAATTAGCATTTAGCATTATTATTAGTTGCCATTTCACTTGACTTTGAAATTTGAAAGATTTGGTCTCTGCATCTTTTGTGAATCAATCAACATGGCGGCTGCATCTTTTGTCATTTCATTCTCATGGGAAAGAGATTAATAACATGCCAATTGCATGTGATTTCCTGTATCTGTAATATGTGAGGGGACTACTATAATTGGCATGTGATGTAGTGGTTTCCCAGCCATTGTGTGCATGTTGTGTGTGTAATTCCTCATTATATGTTATAGATGTATGATTTTAGTAGTTTATGGTGAAGCTGAATAAAATGATATTATATTTATTATGATATACACAGCAGTGGCACATATCAATTTATGAAACACAAAGTTCTTTTACAAGCATTACTTCACACAGTACACTACCCACAATGTTCACTATCACCTGACTAATTTGTTTAAATGCTATGTTTTGAAATTGGATAAAAAAGACAAAAAGGTTTGCTAGACGAAGAATTCAAGGCGAATCAGGCCCAGGTCCAGGTATGTAATGACAGTTTCGTAATGACCATAGATAATTAATAATAATAATAATAACAACTTTATTTAATGAGGGTGGCACTAAATAGTGTACTACACTAATAAACTTGTTGCCCTCAAAAGTTTAAAACTAGTCGTTGTAAATTAGTTTGGTAGTTTTTTTTGTAGGTTTGAAACACCTGATAAAAGCTGGAAGATCAGAAAACAATAAAATTAGATGAAAAAGAAACAAAATTTTATTCAAAAATGAGACAGATTTCCATTTTAAACACTCTGATCTAAATGCATGGGATGCTGAAACAAAAAACTTTTTTGTTTCCCTGAGATAGAGCTTGAGATGTTGTACTTATTGATTTTCTAATTTTTGTGGGGTGTTCTAACCTTGTCCACTAAAAAAAAGGTAAAAATTTTATGAATTTCTTGCTCACCTTTGCCTTTCCATGTTTCCTTGTTTGTGTATTCAGGCACCTATGCTATTTCTGGTTTTCGAGAGAACAACTTCAATCGATCAGGTGCAACGAGGTAAGGATTGAAAAATTTCTATGTGCAGGATGTGTGTTTATGTCTGTTATAAAAAGCTGGGAATGTTTTCTTTCTTCTTTTAGTGTCTTTCATCTTCCCATTGCCGTAAAAAGGAATGAAGATAAGAAAAATAGTTTACCAGCACCAAACCACTACAAGGTAAATTAGACTTTTATTTAATAGTTTCCAGAATAATCCTAGGAAATCCTTTGGTTGTTTACCTTTGCCAATCTATTTTTAATCTTATAAATATGTTATTAACAGATTGGACAGCAGACAGGACGAGTTACTCATGATAATAATGTTTCAGCCAGTGCAGCTTTCAAATCTGGGTAAGCTCCTTAACAAAAATACATCTATTTTTCATTAGTTATAGCAGAAAAAAAAAACCAAAAGAATTTTATTCCCACAGGATCTGAATTAAATAGGTAAATAATATGCATATTTGGAAAGTTTATATTTCATGTAAGAAATATACTGTGAAAGAAAATATAAGATTTGATTCCAAAAATTAAAGTAGCTGGTTATTAGCCAGAGGAGTGGGAGGAAACTCCGATTGGAAAAGAATGATGACTTTAAGGGTAAAAATCATTAGTTGACACACTGTCACCTGGACAGGAGTCGGGTATCTTAGGGGTCATTTTCAAAATTTCCAACAACTAGTGAACTTTGCCCTTGGGGCGTTTAGATTTCAAAATGCTTTATGTACCCATAGCACCTCTTTGCAGACAATCTGATCTCAATTTGAACTAGGATTGATACTAATAACTCAAGGAAAGAAATGTTAATGAAATCCTCTGCCACTCTTGCCAAGAACCATTTTCTTTTTATCTATCCCAAAAGTAGAAATGTCTCAAAGTATATTTGTTATTTGTTAATGTTTTGTTAGGTCTACAAGAAGTGTTAACCCAAAATCAACTTCAGGCCCATCACCCTGTAAGTATATGTGGCTTTTATCTGTGTGACAATAATTATTCCCTCCAGRCCTGTCCCATTCTTACGCACTGCTTCTCACACACTGCCGTTTGCATTACTACACGGCCACTACAGACACAAATCGGGTTGTGTAGTTTGCAATAGACTGCCGTCAATCAACACATCATTCTACTTGGATGTACTCAAACTCTTTGCAATCGCTTTTGGAACTTTCCTTCGTAATATCTGACTGAGAAAGTTTAATAGAAAAGCCAACTCACTGATCCAAACGTGTATAAATGGCGTCAACATGAATGATTGACAGTAGTCTATTGCAAACTACTCGTCTCGATTTGTGTCTGGGGTGGCCGCGTAGTAATGCAAACAGCGGTAAATACAGCTATTTCAAAAAGGGTGGTGAAGGTGTTGATGCATGTTGCATACCAAGCCTGAATTGCACCATGGGTAATGTGAATACAATCAGCGAACGGTCACAACGAAAATATACTTATATACTCATAAACTTTGTCTGCACGTTTTTTGCTATATTTTCTTCTGTGCTGACATTATTTACATATGAATATAGTACATTTTAAAGCTTAGTAAACAACATGCAACAGAACCTTCACCAACCTTCTTTGAAATAGCTGTATTTACTGACAAATAATGTGTCATTTGTCTAAAATATTTGGAAATGAGAAGATTGAACCATTTAAGTGATTTTATTTATGGCCGTGAAAAATAACAAGCATGATACATAGGAGTAGGCACTAATTCCATTGTTTTCTTTGTTTTACTTTGGTCATTTCACGGGCCAAGTATACGTGTGGCAGCGCGGTCGTTAGTAGATAATAGGCAGATTAAGATACCCGTTTTTCCTTCCGGCAAACGTGACCACGTTTTCATTGTTTCCCTACATTTCACTTTACCTTTTGCAAACCTTCTCGACAAAGACAAGTATTCTTTTTTTTATCTACTACTTGGATTTTTTTGCGATTCCTTTTCACTAATTTTAAAGAATTTTTTAATAGTCAATTGACGTTTCACGTTTGCCGTAAACGAGAAGCTTAAACTCTCTTATCAGTTTAAACTAACGTTTTATCATTTTACTGGTGTTTCTTATTGCAGCATTAATGTCCTCGGATTGGTTTTATTGGCTTATTTTTCATTAGTTTTAGCAATAAACTATATTTTATTTAGTCAGGGAATTGCAGCCAGGACACATTGGGCTACGGACTAATATCTCACAGATTGAGAAAAATATAATCTGTTGGAAAAGAAGAAAGCTACAAATACCTTGAGCAAATCCCTCCTGCTTGCAGTTTTATTAAACGTTTGACTTTCTTTATTTTTATGTTTGACACAAACAGTTAGTTACAAAATAAATGAAAAGCTTGTGAGTGACGCACCAAAGACAGTAACAGCACCATTCAAGTCTACAGTGGAGAGAAAGATGATGCAATCACCGGTTGCATTCCCTGGACCTGGTGCTTATCAGCCATTCGATCATGATCAACATAGACAATCGAACAAACCCAAAAGAGGATTTTTGTAAGCATCACTTTTACTTCTTTTTTCGTGTTTAGTTAGCTTGGCGATTTTTTCTTAGAATGGCGATTTTTTTTCATCGAGAAGTGCAAATTATTTAACATTTTGATTTTTTTTCGATTTCCTTTGCGGATTCTTGGTTTTTGGCATTTTTTTCTGCGGATTTGTGGTTTTTAGCAAGTCCTTCCTCTTGTTCGTGTGAACATCACCTCATTTCTTTAATGCGCATTGTTTTGGAGTTCAACCAGTTACTGGGACTTGGCTCGTTAAGACAGATCGTTTTCACGTAGCCATAATGAAAAGTTTGTTTTGAAAAGCCGATGTAAGAATGCTGAGTAGGATTACTCATTCCCCTGTGCGTTTGCGTACGACTAAGGCACCCCCATTTTTCCTTTGAAAGAGAAAATTAGCCCGGGAAGGAGGGGGGGCACTCCCATGGAAATAGGGCGGGGAAGATCGTCGAAAAAAATATAAAATTTGAACTCCTAAAAGAGAGAGTTTGGGCGTGGTCCTAGAAATTAGTGCAATGAAATATTGCTTGAAGAATTGTAGGTCCTGTTTTAGCATGGTTATTTTTTTTTCCATCCACAGAAACAAACACTATCTGTGTATTTCGGCCCCTGCTATTCCACTACCCTCACCGGACCCCATGCCTGGACCAGGACATTATAATGTAGTGGATTATCAAGGACCGCCAAAACACTTCATGTCTAGTTCAGTGTTTGTTTCTTCTACGAGTCGCTGGACAGGTGATGCTCTCAATACTGAGGAAGAATTCCCAGGACCTGGTAAGTTGACTAGTATCACTAACACACCAGTGAAAATTAATTCCAAATTGAACGAGAAACCATGTTACTTAACAATTATTCACCGAAGGCGAAGTAAATATCCATATGGGGGAATATATCATTAAAAAAAACTTTTTAGCATTACTTCGGCTCTGGAAAACTTTGGGAAACCTCAATCACCGCTTGTCATAACCACTAGTCGCTGGACACTCACAGCGCGCTTTACTATTTTCACGTCTAAAATAAAATAAATTAATAATATTCATGACAAATTTACAATTTTAAACCACACTGCTCTCAGCCAATCAGAATCAAGTACATTTTTCATGAAGATGATTAATTTATTTCGCTGTGTGTCCGCACATATGCGCACTAAACATGAGAAGAAATGCTTTAGGAGTAAGTTTTCTTCAACCAAACCTTGAATCAATTCTACGATCGCTTGATTACTTTCATCGGAACTGGTTTTTCCATTGAGTCTTTATGTTTTAGTCTTTGTTTTCAAATGCAAAGATTATCCATGCATGTGGTTGTACTTACCTGAAGCATATTTTACTTTTCAGCTACTTACAGGCCACAAAATGCTGCTAAACAGTCGTTTCATTATAACTACAATTCAAGATGGTTGCCTGCTTAATGAATTTGGTCCCAATGAGTCTGGGTTCGTAAAAAGATGTATTTTAAATAGCGTAAAACAGAATAAAAATGTAAATAGAATAAATAAAGCGATAAAATGTCGACAAAAGATTGAAATAGAATTTGTTATTTGATTACGAAGATTTCCTGCTATAAATGTAATCTCCATGCAGGGACAAATGGAAATCATTTCAACATTAATCAAGTGTATTTTTTTATAATGAAGAATATCGTGAAAATTAAAATTGCTAAATACTAGAGAGAATAAACATCCCTTTTATTCATTGTTTACTGTCYAGTTCACTTTAGGCACCGTTCAAATACAAATTTGAATGATTGAGAAAATTCTACAATCAAGTTTATTGCAATATGCATAAACTTTTACCGCCACCCGGTTAGCTCAGTTGGTAAGAGCGTCGGTCTGATGTGCGGGAGGTCGTGGTTCAAGCCTCGGCCGGACCAACACTCAGGGTCTTAAAATAACTGAGGAGAAGGTGCTGCCTTTGTAATAATATCTGCAAATTGTTAGACCTTCAAGTCTTCTCGGACAAGGACTTTAAACCGTAGGCATGGTCTCCTGACCCTTCCTAACCTACAGTAAAATGGGGGACATAAAAGAACCACTGAGGACGTAAAAGAAACCCTGGCAGTGACCACCCTCAGTGTCTACACTTCATACTAACCATCTCTCATGCTTTTAAATTGCATAAAAGCAATTTGTCATTCACAACTCCATGTAAAGCGACTTTGATTATATCCACATAGAAAGGGCGCTATATAAATCATAATCATTTCATTTCATAACTTTGACCCTTTCGTATTACACTCAATTCAAGAATCGTTGTCGGGTTCAGAAACATAGAACATAGAAGCTGAGACCGAAATGGCACATGGGAAGTACGTTAATTAGATGCATGCTGTGACCGGCGACCCGTGGCATCATCTACTGTTTTTAATACGCGTTTGGCATTCTAAACCTACTGCATGGATGAGGCAAATGAATAAATTATAATATAATTATGTCATTTCCCATGTGCCATTTCGGTCTCAGCTTCTATGTTCTATGTTTCTGAACCTTACAATGATTCTTCCAAATAAGCCTGAAGCGAGATGACGCTTTACCCCCGACTCTATACCATAATAGTTTTTAAAATTCTTTCATGTTAAAATTCTTGATTCCTTAGAGAATACAGGAACAATAGTCATAATTAAAGAACAAAAGCAGTGTGAAAAGGATTATGGTCTAGAGACGCGGGTAAAACGTCATCTCGCTTCAGGCTTATTGAGTGTATACACTTATTTCAACAAAAACCTAGAAAGCTGTGAACGCTGAGAATCATGGGAAATATTTCATATTCAACAAGTAAAGCTTTTGACACAAACTGCAGCAGTTGAGGATGCTCAGAGGAGGTGAACTTGTAACTGGTAAAAGATCTAAAATCCATCAACAGTTATCAAGCGGTTAAAACATGTAAAATGTATCTACCCATAATGTCGTGTCGGTCTCAGCTTTATAGCTTTTCTGGTGACTAACTTTATTGAAATGTGTAAATACAATTATATCAAAAGTATATCAAAAATTATGGGGATATCCTACCCCTTATTATTTTTTATAGACATATATGTATATCAAAATCTTGGGAAGGAATTGGAAAGCACGGGTGGCGTAGCAGTGAAAAGCGCTCGCCTCTCATCAATGCTAGAGCTCAGACTCGTACCCAGTCGTCACTCACGCTTTTTTAATGCCCGCGCGCGATGGCTTTTGGGAAGGAGAGAAAAAGTGACGTCACTTCGCTTATCTCTTTCTTCCTTCCCTTGATGCACCGTGAGATCGATAGGACAAGAGAAGCGACTGGGTACGAGTCTGGCCAGAAGTGGAGCCCCGCCATGCCAGGCTCTCATATGCGAGTAAAGTTGCATCTCATTATATATCAAAATATGAAGGAAAGTTTATTGGATAGATTTTGAAATATTTTGATGGGAATAGTTGACATTGCAGTTTTTGGACGTTCGTAGAGGCGCACATACCTGCATTTTCCACTAATAGTTCAAGAATCATAGTCATCCAATAACATTGATGGATTTAATAGTATAGATTATCTAGTAAACTTCGAGTTATAAGTACGTTTTGTTATATAAAAGTACTTTTAACGGTGAATAAAGGTTCTTGATTACAGCTTCCGGTTGCTACCGCATTTCACTATAAAACCCATAAATTGACATATTTGGAGAGCATCTAGCGTAAAAACGAGAATGGTAACCCCATCTTTTTATTGTAGTTTTTAAATGTCCACAACATAATTAATGTCCATGCAAAGTTTCAGGACAAAGTTAATGGCAAAATTTCTTTCAAGGGAATTACCTTAAGACCCGGGGAACCGATAGTCTCTTTTAGTGTCGGTCGTCACGCAACGAAAACGGATGCGAGGGAGACTAAGGAACCGAGTGGTAAAATAGATCACTGAAGACAATGAGTTTAATCGTACATCTTTACTTCTTATATTATTACATACAAATTGTTAATTTTGTTTAAGTGTATAGTTCTCTTCCAGTTTTCAGGATTAAAATTCGATTAGTTAAAAAAGTAGAGGGTTTATATACATCTTACATTCTTTTATCATCGTTATTTAAGTAATCTAAATGCATGCCTATTTACAAAGTATCAATAAAAAACTAACCGTACCGAAGATGGTGACTATAGAATGACGTGGATTATAGGCTACATGTTGGATCTTCATTGCAGTAGAATGAATGCATTTAATAACCCGTGAAGTAAAAAAATACTTGTCCACGCGTAACAGCCAACTTGACACAAAAGAAGACAATGGAATTAGGGTCTATTAATGTATATTAGGCTAATATCTATTTCACGGGTTTTTAAAGTCATTAAAATGAAACTAAGCTAGAATAAGCATAACTGAACTGTTTCACTAAATCAACACCTATCAATTGTCGAGTTGATAGCCTGCATACAGCCCAACTTGTATTGGTACTGTGTGACAAATACACTACACATCATAATAAACATACTTGTAAATAAACATACTTGTCTATACTTAAGACTGCTTACTAAAGAGACGTTTTTCTTAAATCTTTCTCTCTTCATAAAAGTTGAAGCCCGAGAAATATAATCTTAAAGTCAAATATTTTTTAGAAAGAATTCGATCAGAGATTATATAGGGATTATTTACATAGACGAGTTAAAAGGGCATGGGATAAATAAGCCGGCTCGAGGATATGATACACAGAACACATTTCACCTGAATGAAAAATTAACGACACGGTCACGGTTCAGTACAATAATGACATCTACTGGATTGGTTACTGTGTAGCAAACAAGGTACACAACCTTTTGTACTTCGAGTTTATCAGAGTCATATGAAATCATCGACTAGAATACTAGACGAATTATGAACAAAATCAGAAAGCTAACATTTCAAAAAAGGAATTCTTCTAGTTATGATTTCTGAAGAATTTTGAGAGGTCTATTAAAATCGTTACAACTGCTAGAAGTATGATTAGTTGCTGTTGTCTTATGAAGGTCAAATCAGCAATCTGTAAAGTAAACAATAGCAGACTGGAGATGGTGGACTAGGGAGGGTGTTATTTTCAGTCGTGCTTGCCAGTGAGGATGAAGAGTGACGGTTCATCAGGATCATTAACTGTTTGAAGCTCATCCCTCAGGCGAAATCTCCAGTGTTCTTCCAGGTCCAGCCTTACGACTTCTTGTCTCAGGGTATTACGATCCTGACACACCAAACACAGCTGGGCATTATCTATGAAGTCAAAGCGCTGCAGTAGCTCTTTGCTTACAGCTTGTTCTGGGAAGAACAGAAGAAGGCCACCGTACTTTGTCTTGTTCTTCTCGAATCCCTTGGCTCCAGGCTTAGGATCTCGTTGAAGCTGAAAGGTGTTTACATACTCCACCGTAAACCTGGGTCCTAGATTGACGTAGTTATCAATAGCGAGAATAGGGTGGTGTGGATTATCTGCTGCCCTCTGGAAGAGCTTCCTTGCTGCTGCTTCAACCAGGTATTTCTCAAGGAGGTACTCAGCAGGTGCTGAGAAGTAATGCGTATCTTCGCTATCTGGTGCAGTCACGTAGTTACTGTAATCATTCACATCTACTGCAGCTTGCTTAGAGTTGTGGACACTACTGTTTTCACTGGTGTTCATCAACAGTTTGACAGTTGGTTTACATGTTACTTCAATTCGTTTCTTAGCAACCGTCAGGTAGTCAAACCTGCATGATGGAATACCATGGCTGTACAGGAGGAGACTGAAGTTCAAGTCTTCACAGGAATACCTGTTACGACTGTACTGCAAGTCCTGTAAAATCGCTACGTTGAGAATGACTGCTGTGTTAAGACAGCAGTGAGAAAAGCATGGCTGATCATATTGGGCATCTTTACTGCTGAACTGCCTAAACCCTATGGCGCCATATTTAAGAATATCACAAGTGGATTCCACGATGTCTAATATCTTAAGCAATGATGTATTGGGGTTGAAAGGTGCATCTTCTGTGTCCTTTGTCTTAACCCTGCAAGTAAAAGAAAAACACGTTTGGTTATACGGAACATCACCAAAGGGATCCCAGACATTGGTCAAGAAAAGATGATCACGTGAAGGAAGGTAGCCATGCTGCATGGCATAATATATTAATGATTTACTATAATGAATTCTGAACAGTGAATGAGAGATTGGATTGTTGTTGTCATCCAACATGGCTGTGACTAATTCATATTATTGTGTATGGATCGCTGTCAGACAGGCTACTCACTTGAGAAGGTTTTGCCACATGACACAGGAATCATCCATCATCAGTACCATAGGCCAGATATCTTCAATACCACTACCATCAACGCCTTGACGCTCACGTTCCACAAGGAAATTTTCGGTGGCAAATTGCTAAAGAAAGAAAATAAAATTAACAAACGTGAGAACAGGGCTCTCGACAATTTGTGCAGCTCTTGGTTAACATGTATGTCCGGGTGTGCTTAGGACTAATGTGCAAGATCTTTCCGCCTTATTATTGATAAGCACAGACACACGTTGCAACAATGCACTATCAATCCTTTCTTTTTCACTGATTGCAGAGGCTGTACTACGCATCATATATAAAAGAAGCATTCCAGCCTGTCCCAGAAAATCACGTGTTTTTTCATGTAGGTTTTAACTGTATTTCCTTTTCCGGTGTTTAGAGTGCAATGTATTAGTTATGTCTCAGTATTCTCTCACCTTGATGAAGTACCTTGCTGACCCAACACCTTCCTGATCACTGTCCTTAGGTAGTCCCACTATGCTATGGTTAGGCCACATCTTGGCATACACAGACATTTCGTTGTATTTTACGAACACAACAAGTGTGTGACTCTCTCCTTCAAAAGCGTGGTACAAGTTGAGAAGTCCTGAAATCAATTTCATGATAAAATACAGAAATCAAATGTTGAGTGGATTCCAGAAATATTTAGAGCAACGATAAGTTGGGATAGTTTCACTGATACGTCAAATGCTTCATGTAAAGCTTTCCCATGTTACTTTATGTAATCCATGCAAGACAGGGCAAAACAAGTATTTATATTGACTAACACGAGGCACTCAAATTATCAGTTCTCTTCTGTCTTGACTAAATCTTAGGTACATAACAAGAAAGGGCAAGGGACCATTTTAGTAGCTCTCCTCCCCTTCCCCCACACAACAAATACTTTTTGGTCATCCCTCCCCTCCTAATTGCAGAATGGTATAGACTTCTTGTGTCAAGTCAATCTTAGAGTCAAAACTACAATAAAAAAAAACAAAAGAATATACCTGTCTCACATCGACGAGTGCTTGGCATCATAACCGGAGTTTTGACAGTCAGTTTCAGAGTCTCACCCTCCTTCTTGACAGTCGTCACCTTGGGCAGTTTCAGACTGTGAAGTTGCTTATCACCAGTAAACGAGAAGTCACTAATTCGAGTAGGTGGAATAAGAAAATGTAACTTCTCACCGGATTTTAATTTGTAGTCGTAGTGGAGTGACGAGTTAGGTCCCATGCCATCGCGGTATGGTTTACAGCTGTCACAGTGGTGGCAGATGTCATGTGCTACCCAAGGTGATAACAGTACTGATGTCACAGTCTGTGTAATGGACCTCTCTTTGGACTTGCCATTATCTTTATGCTTACCATCTGGTTTTTCGTTCAGGAATAACGAAAGAGAACTGATTTTAGAATATTGATACTCCTTCAGCTCACAATTAAATGGAAGTTTTGATATGGTATCGAAGTTAAGTAGTTTGGAGGAAGTGGATTCTGTAGCTGCTTTCTTGGCTGATGGATCGTCAACTACCTGTCCAGGAAACTCATCGTACACATCTACTTTCTGTTGCTTGATCAACATTCTGTGCAGGAGTCTAGCAAAGTGAAGATATGCTCCTGTCTTGCCAACCTAAATAAGAATATCACATTTGAGTCAAATCCAACAATTGGTCTAGCATCAATGCTGCTTACTGAATGGATAAGTTATAGCCTCTACTTGTGGTGTAAAGTGCTGTTTTTGATAACCAAAACAGTGGCAGCTAGCTCGCGTTTTCAATTCAGAAGCACAAATGGTTTATAGGTCAATAGCCCATGCAGGACAAAATATGCTGGTATCAACGTATGTACTTCTTTAGAAATGGCTGGTTTTGCACCATTGACTGTCATTGACAGTAGTGACTATAAATGATGGCAAACCGTTGGTAGATACTTACCTGTGGAAGACCACTGAACAAAATTGATCTTGGGTGATATCTGCCGATGGCTGTAGCCTCACTGTCACTCTCATCATCTGTAGTTCCTGCAGCTGGTGCTTCATTATCAGATTCTGATGTCAAACTAGGGGCTGTAGGTACAGCTCGCTGGTGATCTGAATAAGAAGAAGATTAAGATAAATATGAATAAATGAAAAGGAATTAACATTGGTTCCATTTCATTGCTCTTCATCCATTTATTCCTAACAGAAGTCTCAAGATATTTAAGTGCAATTTAGTTATACCTTCCCTCATAAATTTATGAATTTATGGTCACTTTTTTAGACCAGTCAGATCCCCAAGATCTCAATCACTCTGTACTTGTAGAACCTTTGTTTTTGAAGTGCATTACTTACTAGCAATTTTAGCTTTGGTAGTTTCGCGGTCATCATTTGGCTTGGTAATTGGACTATTAGGTTTGCTGTCTTCTCCACAATTCTCATCCGTTTCGCTTCCAGCAACTTTATCAATGCAAAATAACAACAATTAGAAACTCTTACATACACTGTGTAAAAGAATAATACAGATTCTAGAAAATTACTAGCACTGAATTTTTTCATCCCAAGGCTCTTTTGTTGAATAATGACGATCCTCTTTCCAGAGTTATTTCAGTCTTGAAGCATATAAAGGCATGGTATGTTTTACACTCATTCAAGTGAATGCATGGATACCAGGTAAGTGAGTGGTAGAATCTTGAATTTGATGTGCTCGGCAACAGGTAACTGGTGCATTGGTGAAATGTGTGAAGTTATGAGACGAGCAGCAACATTCTGTATTGATTGGAGATTATTTAGAAGTAATACTCCAAAACCTGACTGATGACACTTAAAGTAGGAATCAGTTATCATTTCAGCCAACTTACCTGAAGGCTGTCTTGGTGTTTCGCACATGGTTTCCACGGCTGACATGCCATCTTCTTCCATCACATCTAATAAGAACAAACAGAAAACTCTATATAATTAAAACACTGTTTGTGGCTGTAAGAATACAGGGGTTTATCGTTATTAACCATTATTTATCTATAATAACATACTAAGGAATGAGAATCTGTTCTTATGGAACCCCTCCCCTAACACCACCCTTTAAACCCTGCAGGGATGAGAACAATATGAAACAAAAATAAAATACAGTAAATGAATGAATAAGAAAAGAGAAGACTGAAAGATCTTCACATTTAAGTATTTATCAGGTAACAAGTAACAAAATGCAAGATCTGGGTCGGTGGGGAGGGCTGGACTTTGACAAGGTTCCTTGCAATCCTTGAGCCAATTGCATGCTAATATTGAAAAACAAGTACAAACATCTAAATGCTAAGACACCCTACACTAGTCAAGGACACCAGTCACGAGGCAAGTCAATGCCTTTGATAAATTAAAGCTAGCCAGCTGATTTTGAGTGACGTAGTAATGACATCACCACAAAATTGAGGTGTCCTGAAGCCTGCAAAAATTGACCAGCGGAAAATAAAAACATGCCCGCCATTGGAATAAAAATATAAAACTCATTAATTATTGTGTCACTGTTATCAAGCGCATTTTGCAATGTTATTTTCATTTGGTGACCTGGAAATCTGTTATTTCATGAGGAAAAGTGACACCTCAGTTTTGTAAATGTTCTTGATTCTGATTGGCTGACATTTCTCTCAGATCAGCTGGAGACCAGCACAAAAGTACTGAAAAACGGACATTTAGTGACTTCACCCTCGTGACTCATCTCCTAACATGTTTCTACTTTAAACAACAACACAACATTACTTTACACACAACATAAAAACAAACACAATTCTACAAGACAGTTATGTTTACTGCAGGCACGTAGAGGAATAGCAATGCAGCAACACTTGTTATGCAACAGTTTAACAGATATGATTTTTTTCTAACGGCATAAGATCCATTGTGATGGACAGGGAGCCTATGAGTTATTGTCCTTCAAGGCATATATACTTTATAATACTAGGGGCCACAATTGACTTAGTCTATAATCTAGTGCTGAATTGAAGGCAGCACATAATGGTGTTTACCAGGGATGTCCGGGCTAATAACTATCCCACTGGCACTGCGCATGTTAATCACCGTCCTGCTATTCACAGAGCTGCACCGAGTTCCAACAAGATTGCTTGGTTTAGGTTCAGTCCATTTACGATAATACAGAGATTGGTTTGCCGGATTGGAAGTTACAAGGTGGGGCCGACCATGACCTGTCCAGCGAGTCTGAGGTGTAGTCGGTAGGAGAAGATGCTTGGGATAGCCATAAAAATCAGTTTGAAATGCTTTGAAAGTGGATCGTGAGACGAGTATGACAGGTAAAGGATAGTTAGAAGAGTAGTGACTAGTCTTGGCTGGAGCACTGCTAGTACTAGAGTCATCCTTGTTCTCCTCTCCATCACCCAACACTGCATCACTGCCACCCTCTACTCCAGCACTCCGTGACCCTGCCCCTGTACTGATGTAACATGCAATTGCACTAAACTCCAGCTCCAAGGATGATCGGTACAGAAACCCACGGTCTATCAATCTAATGTCGATATACTTCAAGGACCTATTAAAAGACACATCATTATGTTCTGAAGTCAAGAGCCTGGTTAGTTCAGACCAGCTCTGTTCACCAACCGTTTGGAGGCCAAAAATACTTTAAACAACAGTCGCTGCACCTATCCTGGTTAATCAGCCTAAGCCAAAGTACAGCAGCTCGGTCTGGGCAGGGCGACCAGCTCCTAGGTGTATAAACTTAGAGCACAGATATCTTGCAACAATACTGAGATATATGACAAGTGGGGGACTAGTATATCATGGTGTAACAATATGTGTTATCACGGGTCTTTACAAATATCTACAACAACAAATTCCTTATCTAAAAAATTATATCTTTTTGTCAAACAATCAGAGTTACTATTATTGTTATTGGCGATGTATTGTGAAGACTCTGTGAAACACATATTATAGACAAATAACTACATGACAGACAAATAATTTGACAATGAAGACTTTGTATGCATGTGATAATAAACAGGGCATTAAATGTATTAATATGATATATTATGAGTCATTCTGGCCTTTAGGCAATGTCCATCTAAATGTAAAGTAAATATTCTGCTGTTCTGACGTCATGTAAGCAAGTCAAGATAATGTGTCAATGCAATTTGAAACAGATCCTAACTGCTGTTTGGCGTAGGAAAGGCCTACCCACATTCTGATGTCATGTAAGCAAGGCTAATGTGTCAATGCAATGAAGGGAAGGCCTACTGGTTTATTCCCTGGCAGAACCAATATTAGGTTTCACACAATAATAATTGAAAAGGTGCTGTCTTTGTTGCTCTCTACAGACAAAGATAGTTGATAGCAGGGTTTTAATAGAATCAAGAATTACTTGCATGTTTAAATTTTCCTAACAGCAAACTTAAGCAAACTTAAGGAAGACTATTTATTCAAAAAAAAATCTGCCTGGGTAATCTTCTTCTTTAGAGAAGCACTGTTGTACTCAGTTTAGCACTGCTAATCTGTCACCTCTCACTAATGCCTTCCTGGTTTGATTCTCAGGCTCAGTGTCGTAAGGGAGAAGAGTTCTTTCCTGTGCATTGAGGGTTTTTCCCTGGGTTCTCCCAGTTTCCTCCCTAAAATCAGCTTCTAAATTCCAATTGGATCTCTAGTTTCACCTAGTTTGGAGCCTAGCTCTGTTGTAATTGTCCCACCCTGTCATACAACATCCAAAACCTAATAGATTATAAATTCATAAAACCATACCCTGTGTCACTTCACATGCATACAGAATCTTTTAATAGCATATAATGATATTTAATAGGTTATTAACTATTATTAACAAGAGGACAATAGGAGCAGCTCACCTTGGAAAAGTCTCACCAGTTCTTTCCCTACCACTTAGTAATATTATACAGGGTAAATCAAGGAGTTCTTCATAGCACTTGGGATGCCAGTCCTTGATTAGTTTTTCATCCAGGAGACCTAGGATTATAACATAACATGCATCAAGTACACCATAAAGTTGAAACAAATCTTTTTCTTTGGTAGTCTTGTGGTTTAGTAATGAACTGAAAGGTTTCACTAGCCATGTGGTCTTACAGATCACTAGCCATACAGAAAAAATTACTAGTATTTGACTAGTTGACTACTGCCAAGTTCAAGCCCTTAGTGAATGTGAATACAATAGAAATGGTATGTGCCTATAGTAGTAGGGTAGTACAGTAGACACTTAGCCTAGCTGCTATTAACAACGAGATTATAATGAACTAATCAGAAACCTATTGCACAGATGATGATGCAGCATGAGGTGAGGCTCTCATTTACCACACATATCATAAGAAATTCGTTTTGTGATTTTTTCCCCTTTTCAGAAAATCAGAAAACAGAGGCATTTTAGGATAAAATAAGAATAAAAGTTATCCAAAACATACATACTACCAGGAGTGCCACACACCATGTGTTTTTCAACTCAAATGTCTACAAACTCACCTCTTTGTTTTTTCCAAAACCTGAGTCTCTTGAGAAAGTAATCTTCAATCTCCAGTTCACCCATACCGTTGTCATGTATAACAGCAAATCTGTGTTGAAATCCAAGTCTACAAAGATATGTGCACATTAATATCAAAAACCTCACTACACAATCACATACAGGGCAAAATTACTCAATGCTGATTGGCTAATGAAGGAGGGCTTTTTTTCCGACATTTGCAGGTCCGAATTACTAGAGTATGATTGGTAGTTGAGACGCCTAGCAACGCTTGCAAACTGTAAACTTTTTTTTTGCAAACCAAAATGGCTTCATGTTTTGCATAATTTGGCAGGCAAAGAAACCATAAGGAAAATGAAAAGTTCACATGAAAATGAGAACACTAGAAATTGTACAGGTGTCTGGATTAGTGTTTAACGTAAATGGGCCTCGAAAAGACCACTCAAATAATCTGAAATGTGTACAACTTCACTGTGATTTTGAACAGTATTGCTGGAAATAATTCAGCACAATCATCTTGGTCTGGACTTAATCACTCGAAACGCCACTTTAATCAGCTTTTTCCTTTGGATTCTGATTCAGATTAAGAACTTTGTTAGTAGTAATCTAGTTTTATGCATGTTTTTGACTCGATCTTTTATGTTTAAATTCTGAGTAAAATTCGTTTGAACCATAACTACATTTGATTTGATAGTTCAGGATCAATGGATTTTTTTCATTGAATTTTGCCCTATATATGATGAATGGGTAAATGGTTCCTTGTTTTAATGTAAAACAGCAGTATAATTATTTCTAGTCAAATTCTAAGCACTATGGGAATCATGAGTGGCTTGGTGCTGCAAATGCGATATTCTTGAAAATTCTAACCTCATATCTACTTGCGTATTATAATATTATATGAATAAACTGTTGTTTTTTCCCTTACCTATCCCTCACATTCTTCAGACTATCAAATGCCAGAACAGACAGCTCTAATGATGGGATTCTGATAACCAGCATGGATCCACTGCCATCAGCATTATGGACAGGAGACTCTATAATCTCACGGATAATTTGAATAGTCTTCAAGGTGCAATGTGGTTCTGCAGGCTTGATTCCTGCTGACCACATAATGGCTGCACAGTAATGGCGAATGAGAAGATAACAACGAAGAACACTCACATTGACATCTTCTGTTACCCTGTTGAAACAAAAAAACCCTTTTCTAACATTCTTTTCAAACTTCAACCAAATATATTGCACATTTGTTATGGTTGACAATCTAATTAAAATTAAAATTAAAATTAAATTAAATTTGCAGGTAGTCTACCACATTACACTTTAATATTTTTTTTCTTTGTACTTCAACAAACCTGGTAGTCCGTAGGGCCATCCTCTCAAAGGCATCATCTTGTCTGAAGAGAGGGAATTGATGTGTCCATTTAATAGAATCACAATATTCCTTCAGTCCAAAGTACATACTATCCTGATCATCAACGTACTGGTCATCATCAAACGAGCTGGATTTCACAGATCCGGAATCTAGATGGAAAAGATGGTCCATGTTACATCATATCAAACTACCCTAAAAATAGTGTGTTCGGTTAGCCTGTGGGAGCCTCTGCCCACATCCCTTTCATATCTTGACGTAAGGACTTACATGATCAAAGCTTGTGCATGGGAAAATGGATATTTAAGTGGAAAAGTAAATTAGAAAAAAATAAATAAGTAGTCATTTTCCAGCCTAAAGACTGTCCAGAAAGGAAAAATCTGTGCCCTTGGTCTTGAAAGCGGGCCTCAGCCTAATGGTCTCTGTTCGTATATTCAAGACCTTGGGCACAGTTTATCCCTCTCCAGACCTTCTGGCCAGTAAATGATATATATTCATAATTGCCCACCACCATCACAATTCATCTATTCTTTATCTTTATTACAGCAAATCAACACATTAAAAAAAAAACAAAGGAGAAATACACCAGTTTTGAATCCCCCCAAACATTATGGACACCACTGCTTACCAGAATCAGACTTGGAGTCAGTCCAGTAAACTTCATTCTCTGGGTCAATAAAAGAGCAGTTTGTTTGGAACAAATATGGAGCTGATGTCACAAACAGTGGTATCACATTAGGAGCTTCCAGGAATTCTTTGTAGAAAGGTAGGTCCAGGACACCTCTAGGACTGGAATAAAACTGGGCTTGGTCAAATATCAAGATAAATAGTGTGCTTGGCTGAGTCTGGACTTTCTTTAGGAAATTGGAAAGTTTTTCTTGGGTTGCATCACTATCATCATGCTTTATAACATAGTTGAAAGATGCTTCAAACCCAGATGATTCTTTGACTTTTTCCAAGTCAAGGTCAGCAAGAATTCCTGAGTTGGCAAGTTTCTGGATGGTTTGGTTGAAAAGAGTTGAAATGGGAGGCACAACAACAACCAAATCAACCTTGAGAAACTTATTGATATCCAAAGCATTAGAGTTTTCTGCAATGGAACAGACTTGAGCAACCAACTGCTTTGCAATTTGATTTTGTGTAGAGTAGACTACATTGGTCTTTTGCCCATAGTGCTGGAATGAAGTCATTGTAACTTTTGGTTCCATCTTTAAAGCCTCTTCTTCTGTGACCTTCATTCTTGCAAATCCATTAAAAGGAATGAAGACAAGCTGTGCATGGCCCATGGCTTCTTCATAACTGCTGACCATCTGTTCCAGAGCATCACTGGATAATCTAAAGAGCTGCTCCAGCTTGGCTAGGTTATCTGTTATCCTAGCGCCCACAGGGTGCCCTATCATTGCCTCTGTCAGGTACCTTGCTTGGTGTATACCACTTACGAGGAAGCAGAACTCTGGTGCTTTCTTCTGGGATGTAGAAAGCATAAATATATAATCTGGCATGGGAACTTTAGGAAACTTGTTTTGGTTGTGTTTGATGATGTCCATAATAAATTTTAGACCTCTCACAATGGCATTGTCTAAAGAGACAGGGGATGTTACAACTTTGACTCTGCCTTTGGATGAGACCGCAGCTAGGTTAGCCAAGACTGGTAACTGTACATGTGTAAGTAGATTGCTTTGTGCCAGAGCATGGGAATGCTGATATCCTGCAGACAGTTCAAGTTGTCCATCTTGTAGCAATGATTCAACCTCTTCCCTCATGATCCTGTCATCTTCATCAAACTGTGACAAGTGCTGTATCAAGAGTAGAATTGCCATTTGGGTTGTCAGGGCATTGGGGGATGGGGATGGGGATGGGAAGTACCTGGAACCAGTTGAACCTCTCTTATGATGTGAATATGGGTCTGAAGCTGGAATATATGCACCGGTGAAATTGCCAAACTGATTGTGGTCACTCACTAAAGGGGGATCAAAGCATCCTACCAGCAAATCACTGACTATGATATCATTTAAACTGCATGGTACATTTGGAATGGAATTCTGGCAGAGGAGTAATACTGGACATACTCCACAAGCTGCGGTCAACCATGGCTTATTTGGAAGCTCTACACGAGAAGAATCTTGAGCTGCAGAGGACACAGGACTATTTTCGTTTTCTGAAAAGGAGATAAATTTGAAGCAGGTTCATAAAAGAAAAAGGTCTCATAAATGATAATAGGAGCATTGGCTGCCATGGAAAAGTTTTTTTATCAGTTCCACTTTAAGTGCACATATGACAACAGTCTCTGAATGAAAATGTCAGGTAGTATTACTAAGAAAGGCTAAAAAACTGACCCAAATCAGCCAAGAGGTTGCATCCAATACTCACAACCTGAGGCAACTTGTCATGTGCATAGTCAAGTTGATCAAGTTGATCATCTAGTCAAAGACTTAGTCGACCTGTCTTTTCAACAAGTCAAGTCGTAAACATTAATAACTGTTGTCAAGACCGCTTGAACTAATATATTTCACTGTGATTGCATTGTTCTATAAATCTTGATGATAATTAAATATCGCATGAATATACACATAATAGTAATTGCATTGTTTTATAAAGTTCATCAAGAGCGCTTATCAAGAGTGTTATGCCTAAGCCCCTTGAATACATTGTTTCATAGTTACATTGTTTCAAGGTCACTAACAACTTATCATACTTAAAGTATACTTTAATCCATTCACAACTTGACTTTTTAAAAAGACAAGTTGACTAAGCGCTTGATGAGTTGATTAACTTGACTCAACTCGTGAGGTCTGATGTTGCAATTTATTCATGACTTGTCGTTTTCAAAATACAAGTTGACTGACTGAGCCTTTGACAAGCTGATCAACTTTACTAAACTTAGGTGCATGACCAGTTGACTCATGATCAGGTCATAAGCATTGGAGAGGTTGCTTTAGGGTGTCATTAAAGTGAGAAACTTGAAAATGATTTGCAAAAAGTTTGGCTTGCATCTTCATCTTTGGTTGACAAACTTACCAACATAAATTGCTTCATTATCACATCCATTCTCCCAGCGATATTTTTTAGCTGCTGGCTGGCTACTATAAATTTGGGACTGATAGTTATTGATGGGTGAGTTGTCAATGGCATTGCTACCTTGTCCTGCTTGTGCAGGGTGGATCAGCAATGGTGGCCCTGAAAATCAACAATAGAAATTTTAATATGCAATGAATTAATTAGGGATTAGAAACTGATAGTTTGTGAGTGTTTTGTTTACAAATAAATGCACGAGCTGACTGTACAATGAACAGGAAACTCCCAATACTGCAAGAGACAGAGCCTGGTCTATAAGGAAAGTGAATTACCCACTTAAATAATATATAATAAAAAAATTAATAAGCAAGAGACTGGGGCAATTTTTTTCATCAACATGGGCAAGTGACACGCATCCTCCCTAAACATACATTCTTTGTAAAATTGTTGACACTTTTGAAAGCCTTTCATTCTGGTTCATTCTATTGAAGCATGTTCAAATTTGCCAGAATTACTAATCTTAAGATGTTTTGTCAAATGACAATTTTTTTTTGCTGGTTGATGCTTCTTGCCATCTTACTAGTTCCTCTAGCTCCCCCAACAATTTGCTAGTATCTATTTATAAATACGCCTGGGTGTAGATTGTCATTGTTAGAGAGACAACGAACAACCATATGTACACTGAATTGAAATATGGCAACCAATTTGAACTACATATTGTCCTGGACTGACTAGCCTCATGTTCGTGTGAAACAATAATGTAAGAGAGGCTAGTCAGTGTAGAACAATAGTTTTGGTCACCATATTTTGATTTTGATGTATATTATCCTGATATATTTTCATAAAAATCACTCTTGCAAAGTCACACTGACCTGAAGCCATGCTTGCAGCTGACTGTGCATTAGGTGTGTCGTCTTCCACTCGAGCAACAAAGGAGCCAGACATTGGCATGCTTCTCTTACGCCCTTCAGCTGTGCAACAACAGCAACATTTGAATTATTACTTAAAAATGGCCAATCTTGGCATGGAAGTTAAGAATTCATTATTTACTATGAATTTGGCTGTCTCAAACATCCCAAAGTAGCCTAGTCTAGTAAACATGTGCTGTTAGTGAGGTCACACAACAGTGACTGCATAGCAGACAGACATCAGCAAAAATTACAAATAACATTTATGGTAAACTGTTTCGAATGGATCAAATTTCATTTGCACTGATGGTAAGTGGAATTGGTTCTTAATTGCACTTACGATAACCTAGATATATGTCTTTGCACTCATGGTCAGTGCAAATGAAATTGGAATGGAATTGAAATAGGTTACCATGTAAGTGATTGTGGTTACTAGCACTCCTGATATGTGCAATCAGTCTAAAACCACTCATGGTAACCTATTTTAGTCTACAGTACGTCAGAATTATTTAACCCTTTCACTACTAGACTGGCCAAAAGCGGCCAGCGGAAAGACATTTTTGCTTTTCAAATACCATCCCATAGGACAATAGACCCTTTTTGAGTTCCAAATTACCRCTGTGTTTCTTGATTACAGACTCATTTACTCAGGCTTAGCCTCAAATCAATGTATAATTACTCGCAAATACCAACGGTAAAGTAAAGAATGCACAACTGCAACAATACAAACACTTTGAAACTTGATGGAACCTTGACTGGAACATGTGAATATTCTTCACAAAATTGAGGCTAAGCCTGAACTGGAAAAGGGTCTATTATGTGTTGATACCTACAATGGGCCATTGTTTTTTGGATCATCAATCTATCGCATTCTAAAAACTGCTTTGATGTGTGTCATAAAGCCTCAATAGACTACTAAGTATATGTTTTTCATTTTGATATTGAGAAACAAAAAACACCCTAATTATGTTCCAGGAAGAGTCTGTGTTGGACCCTTTTAGTCTCTAGTAGTGAAAGGGTTAATAAGGTCAGATCTATTTCAGCCACTGTTAAATGGCAAGCGTGAATTTATTGAAATTATGTGAAATAAGCTATCTGTACCTCTCCAAGGAATCTGATTTCCTTTCCGTAGTCGACCATGATTGTGGTCTTTGACAATGTAGTATTTCATATGTTTTTGCTTTTTTGGTTGAGTAGCAAGTCTAAGATTGATATGCTGAGAAAACTCTGTGAAATATCTAAAACCTTTAGCACCACAGCCAATACAGTTCCCACTGAACCCAAGCATGGTTGTACTTGTTTCTTCATCAGGAAGATAGCGTTTATCCACAGCTGCAACTAGTATTATTCCAGGCAGTAATGGTGATTTGCAACCAACAAGAGCAAAACAAGGAGGAGCTTCAATCACTGAGGCTTGCTCTGCAAGAACCGACAGCCTAAGCTCTCCTCCACCTTGACATTTTCCTTAACGAGAGAAAATCAAATAATGAAGCATTAGAAACAAAAGTAAAGTCATGTATTTCTAATGAATGGTTTTCCCTTGTTGCTATTTATTTTAAAGTCACAAAATACTGGACATGCAAATATTGACCCTGGCTAGTAGGTTTTTGACAAGATCTAACATTATTACTAGTAGTGTTAAAGTAGTGTTTAGTTGATGTTATTAAAGCATTTGCAGGTGACAAAAAACAATTCACATTTGCTTCTCAAGTGTTGTTATTAGCTGAGAATTTGGTTTCCTCAATGTTAAGGAAACACCGCCTCTTTCATACCTGGTTCTGTACAAACAGAATGGCATATATTCACCACATGCTTAGTGGTGTGTTCACGATTGCTGCGCCTGTTACTAGGAACATTGTCATCATCTACTGGTGGTGTTTCATGCAAAGCATGCTTGGACCTTGTCACAATCCCACCAGGCTTGGACATGTGTGCTCTTCCAGTTAATGCACCTAGGATTAAACAAATTTTATGTTACATCAATAATAATGATAAAAATAACAATAATAAGAATAGGTATAGCTATAATAATACTGATAATACTGATAATAATAGAGAGTTTAAGATTCTTGTTTACGGCAAACGTGAAACGTCAGTTGACCATTAAAAAATTCTTTAAAATTAGTGAAAGGGAATCGCAAAAATCTCCAAGTAGTAGATAAACATAAGAATATGTGAATATGTGTTGAGAAGGTTTGCAAAAGGTAAATGTAGCAAAACCATGAAAATGTGGTCACGTTTGCCGTTTACGGGAAGGAAAAATGGGAATCTTAATCTGCCTAATAATAATAATAATGGCCTTGAAATAGTAACATGAGAGCCACCAAAAAGCAACTAACAAATCACTGACAGCGAGGCTCTGCAAGGGGGAAAATTCTGACAAGTGACACAAGAATGTTCCGAAATTATGACATATCCCAGGACATGGGGTGTAAATAACATGTACCTCTATATGTACATGTACTGTTATTGAGGATAACTTACTTATTTCTATTGCTAACCTACCCAGACCAGCCACTTTATAAATGGTTGTAAATGACAGTACAGTCAACAAACATCATGTGTTAACTGTCTGAAAATTGTTATGGGCCAGACAGCCTTAAAGTTTGCATGCCGAATTGACTTCACCATATGCTGGCTTTATTCAGAGTCTTCTCCACAGCAACAATTATAGTGGGGGATTTGTGTTTATTAAAAATATGCCCAAAGGGGGAAGAAAAAATGATAGCTTTTGTTGAAAGAGCTCAGAAACTTTATTTGGAAAAGTATCTAGTTGGAGTTTGAAGAGATATTGTAGCAGAATTCAGAGAACTTCTGAGGAAAGCTATTAATTTTTATTGATACTGTAAATTATTTTAAAAATTAGAAATGTTATGTCTTGAAAGGTTTTTAATGAACGCTCATTCAGAATAGGTTTTACAAGTCGGACAAAACTAACTCTGAAAGTCCCCAAAACAAACGTGTCTGACGTCACAGATAAAGTCCCGTATGTGACAACCGGAAGTGGCTGTTGCTAGGCAGGTTCTAGTCTAATATATGACAAGAAACACAGATGAATATTCAATGAATATTCTATTCTTCAATCAAAGATTTCAAATAATTAATTCTAGATTCAAATTTTCATTTTTATCTATCATATATTCCAGACAAACATTCGATTTTTAATTGAATAATTGAAGATGGTTGTTCATACGTGATTTTCGTTGGCTAAATACAGCTGGAAAAAGCTGAAGTCCTTATATTGGTTGTTTATCATAACTGTAAACCACTTAAATATCTGGGCCCAGTTGTACGAAGCCTGGATAGAGCTATCTGGTGGATAAATCCTTATTCAGTGGATAAGTTGATGCTGTTTTCCAATAAATTTATCCACTGGATAAGTTTTATCCGTTTGAATAGCGCTATCCAGGCTTCGTATAACCGGGCCCTGTATGGGCACAATATGATTGGTATTTCTAATATTTCCATTAAAAAATGCACAATTTCTACTTATTAATAAAAGCAATAATTTCAATATTTTCTAGAGGTAAGTGAATTTTTTTTAATAAGGTATCAACTTCATAAATGTCTTTGAATTTAAATGGAAGATTTATTTTTTTAGAAGTGACTCTAAGCCAGACTTATCTTGTGTAAAAAATGGCAGCTGATGAATGAATGGGCAATGTGAATGAGAGCAAAAAGTGGATTCCACAGAGTGGCTCTTTTTTTACTGGATTCCAATTGGAATTTAGGTAGGAGTTGATTTTTGTGGAGGGCAGAAAACTGGGGAAAAACCCTTGAAGCACAGGAGAAAATTGACAATTCAAATATTGAAGAGGTTAAAATGAAAACGCTATATTAAAGTGGCTTTTTGGGGTGATTTTTAGAACTCACTCAAATCGTCCCAAAATTGCACCATAGTTTATTTTTGCKTAATACTGAGGTTTGGGAACTATTTTTCCAGTATTTCTTCTGGAAAAGAATGAAATCCCTCCATAGGTGTGCACCATCTTTGCTTGACAACCGATCACTTGTCTGTGAACTCACATAAATTTGCATATTACATGGTGACTTTAGCAAATCAAAAAATCTAGTGTGTGCTCTAATAAGAAATTCTAATCTAACTTGTTCAAAGCCATTTCAGTAAACTTTTGAAGCCATGAATAAAAACCATATCAGTGAAGCGATAATAATAATATTATTATGCACGTATTCATTTAGGCACGATAAGTGTTATAGCGTGCTGACCCATTGGACTCACAGCGGTGAAAGACGACGCGTTAGCCACGAACGTTACGCATGCTACCCAGAATGAACGCATATCCTTATTTGAAGTACAGTGGTTGAGAGCAAGGGACAAGCATTTAAAAGGCAACCATATTCTTATCCCAAATATCCAAAAAAAACCTTTATTTTGACTGGTAAGAATAATTATGTTGGCTAAAAAAAACTGGTTAAGTGGCAAATTAATATAGATGTATCATGATGAGATCAATCATAAAGCTCTACTCTCTGACTTCAAGAACTAGGCAATCATAAAAGAAATAGATTGATACTTGTTTCAATTATTAAGTACATACTATATGACTATACTCACTGTCTTGATGCAAGGAAACATGATTTGTTTCACTGTTCTCCCCAGTTACTGTCCTGGGGTCAAATGATTGGCTCGGCCCATAAATTGGAGCTTTGTTTATCATGGATGCATCCCATTTCTTTTGGAATTTGCTTGTGTATTTTTGATCTGCCATAACTGTAATCCATCCCTAGTGTGGGGCACACAAACAGTAAAACTATGGATCTTTGTACTTCTAGAAATGGAAAAAACAAACAGAAATAAAAAAAGAATAAAAGGAAGAAAAAGAAATGCTCGTCCATCCTTGTGGAAGGGAACTTTTTAACTCTTAAGACAATTATGTTGTCAAATATAAACATGCTGTCGCATAGCAATAGATCTAACAGTTCCACCCTGATAATTGTCTGGAAGAAACAAACTGTAATCATGAGGACTCTGTTTTATATRGTTTCTAATTATTTGCTTTCCTGTTATATACTTTACTATTTTTCTATCTTTGGTTTTTATATTCATTTCGCCTTAAGCGAATAATTGTTAATTATTCAAGAAGTCCATAAATTGAATAAGTTATTTGCCACATTATTGACTGACTTTAAAAAATGTCTTACATCATTGTGTGACAAAAATTGACTCGCAATTATAAAAAGCCTAAGCATCAGAGATACATAAAATATTTTGTGAAGACTTTTTTTGATGATATAAACAAAATATTCAAAAAACACTTTTGTGTGATGAATAGTTTAGATTTTACTTTTCTGATGATGTAATGTGAAATCAATCTATAGATTAGCCTGTCTTAGTGGTTAGCTCAATTAGTAAGAGAGTTGGTCCATTTTGCAGGGTTAGAAGCTTGGTTGAACCAACCTTTGGGGTCTTAAAATAACTGGGGAGAAGGTGCTGCCTTAGTAATTGCATCTGAAATTAATTAGACCTTCAAGTCTTCTCAGATAGGGACTTAAGAAATATATGCCGTCTCCCAACCCTTCCTTTACAGCTATTTGCATTAGAGTGTGCACCATGCACTTTTATTGTCTTTATATTGACGGTAGAATTTGATAGTTACTTCAAAGCAGACTCAAAGCATAGTCAATCGATTAACTATGTTGAAAGCTACTAATTAGCCGCCTAAGTCAGGCATGTATGCACTTGACTTCAGGCTTGTTAAGTCAAACCATCAAAACTGTAATGTGACTGAAACCGCATGTGTGTTAGTTCTGTGTTATTAGGGACAGAACATTACATTTTTGAGGGGGGGTTGGGCAAAACCCCCCTAAAAATTGAGCACAGCTGTAAAGAGTGAAAAAAAAATGGTGCATAAGAAAGTGCCAGAAAAAAATCCAAATTATGTCCAAAAAAAATTCCAGCACAGCCATAAGGCGTAAAAAAATTCCTGCACAAAATAAAAATAGCCCAAAACACCCCCCTCCCCACCCCGATAACTCGAACCTTTTTCATTCCCCGTGGAGGTTCGAGTTAAGGGGATTCACATAACTTCTCGTCTTCGAATTCAATTTTTAGGAATTTTCTGTAAGTAAAGATAGTGATACCACTGGCGGTCCATAGGAAGGCCCCGTTTTCTATGATTTCTCATGAATTAGTGTTACCGAAAGTATTTGTTAGGTATTCGGCGACCACAGCTGCCTTATTGACCACTGAAGTGAGCACCGCCATGTTGAACAGTTGCGCTTCGATTTCTTTATTATGTCTTGCTCAGCCTTGGATAAATCAGCTAAAAATGCTTTTTTCCTATCGGAGTTTATTTTGGATAGGAATTACTGGTATTAACAGAAAAAGAAGCAAAGTAGAGAAAAGAGCCAACTGATGACAATATGATGACACGTTCGCTTTTCTTTGCTTAATAGAGGGCATATATGGCTCCTTAGGGTTAGGGTTAGGGTTATACTGCCAGAAAATCGTATTTTCCGAACCAAAAATGTGTTGTTAGGAAGTTGAGAACTAAATTATAACACATGTCATTTAGGAATATTATTCTTTATAACTTGATCTAAATGGACTCTAGTTTTTAGCCCATCTGTCAGACCGAACACCAAGAACGACCATCGAACCCACAACGTCGAACTAAGTAAAAAAAATGCTCTCTCCACCAATACATAACGTAATCTGTGTGACGTTTTGACTGTAATTCATGATAGGTTCTGTACTTACTAGAATTTTTTGCGATAACCCTTTTAGTTGGTCTGACTATGGTAACAGGACCGGAACGCCCGACCACACGAAAGAACATCAAGAAACGGTTTGCGTCGAGACAAAAAGACGACCCGGAAAGTGGAGGTAAAATCTTATCAGCCTCGGCTCTTTTCAGCTCTAAAACTAGGTAGTTGGGTTAAGGAACCCTGCTTACGATGTAATCTTACCTTTGATATGAATATGAAAGTCTTTTGTTTTGAAAAAGGACGGTTTTTAGACGTCTTTCCTCTCACTTCTTGTTGGAAAGTCCACCCACAGTACATAAACTGGTTAAACGAGAATATATGTGATCTAGTCTAAATGGCCTCGATGTCAGGAGACAATAGTAGGGAGGGACTGGACCCAAAGTCCGTCCGTCCGTCCTTTTCCGTCCGTTAGACTTTCTAAAAGTCCTCTGTCCTCCTCCTCCCCTCTTTTTTTTACTCCTCTTTTATTACTGACGGGGAGCTTCGCGCTCGCCAAATTCTCCTTCCATCATTCAATGGGCAGGGAGAGGAAAAGAGTGGAAGACTTGTAGCACAAAGTCTATCCGTCCGTCTGGACTGAACGCCCTAGCATCAAGGGCGGGTCCAGGGATGGAGGAGGGGGGGGG